TCACCCCAAAATGGAAATGTCTTCATTTACTCGTCCTCATGTTCCACCCAATTCTTTCTTTTGCCGAAGGTACTTTGAAGAATGATTCAGCTGTTTGTGCAAATAATGAAATTCAATTGAAGAAAAAAAAGTCATAAAGCTGTTGTGAAGTGAATATGACTTGACTGGTATTTCCCTAAACACCTGCCTGAAAGTAAAGTCTGCAGGACGTCCCACACACAGGGCAACATAACAACATGACAGAGATATGTCCAGTCCAGAGATGAGCCTCCTACACACTCATGTTCTTTTAGGAGATATGAGATATTTTCACATGGATTTTCCAATATTTAACAACAATACTTTTAAACAAGGTTCATACATGCACTAGATATGATGTAAAATGAGCAATTTTTTAAAACATTAATCATGTTAATGGACAGTACAAACACAATAGTTCATTGATACTTCATACTGCATGAACTAATGAAACTAATCAGAACAAATACGTTTAACTTTTTAATTTTGATAATATATTAATAAATGTCTAACCATATTGTAATGTGTTTCATTTGACTGTATCGTGTGATGATATTATTTCCTACTGTTCATCTTGTTACAAATCATACTTAATGAAAGAGTATAGGCATTAATTTAATGTAAAATATACTGCACTTAATCATCATAATAATCATTTAATGCTTGAACAAGTGAAACATGCATTTATGTATATATATCAATTCTGCACTCATACACTAAGGGAGTGAAAAGCTCATTTTTCTTCGGGTGTGCTTTAGCCCTGTTGTACCCTATAAATGCCATGACGCCTTAAGCTTGACGTTTACTAGTCGCTATTGTGAAGGCAATATGAAACTTTATCAATTAAAATGGGATAGTGCTGTTGCAGTCTCCTTTTACTGTGCGCGTCTCAGAAACGTGTCAAGAGTAGGCCTTCTTAAAATGTGGATGTTTTAAGCCTTCGGAGCGTTATATACTGTGGATCGCAGCTTCTGTGTCACTGGCTCAGTCTATGCCTCCAGGTCGGGGGGTCCTGACATATTCAGGATTTAATATCAGCATAGACCGTAGCCTATAGTAGCCTGTATATGATATTTGAACTGATGCAGGTACTCGAGCAGGGGTACCATATGGACTTAAATTCAGTTTAGTTCTGCAAACGTTAGGATGTTGGCTGGAAGAAGGTTATCAGCGGTTTGAAGCCTGTGTTTAGCGTTGTGATTGTTTGTTGGAAATTCAAAATATTCTGTTGTTCTGTTATAAAGCTGCGCTGTTGAAGTTATATGTCTGACTCAAGCTGAACCTTTTCCAGCTTTATTGACCATATAGATCAGAGCTATTCAATCATCTCCATCCGGCCCGACGGCACCACCCCTCCTCCTCTTGTCCTGGCGCTTCCGCTAGTTTAGTGTGATATGCGCACACTGACCTGAGAAACCTTTTACGTGTGAATATTCTGACCTGAGAAACCTTTTACATGTGAATATTCTGACCTGAGAAACCTTTTACGTGTGAATATTCTGACCTGAGAAACCTTTTACATGTGAATATTCTGACCTGAGAAACCTTTTACGTGTGAATATTCTGACCTGAGAAACCTTTTACGTGTGAATATTCTGACCTGAGAAACCTTTTACGTGTGAATATTCTGACCTGAGAAACCTTTTACATGTGAATATTCTGACCTGAGAAACCTTTTACGTGTGAATATTCTGACCTGAGAAACCTTTTACGTGTGAATATTCTGACCTGAGAAACCTTTTACATGTGAATATTCTGACCTGAGAAACCTTTTACATGTGAATATTCTGACCTGAGAAACCTTTTACATGTGAATATTCTGACCTGAGAAACCTTTTACGTGTGAATATTCTGACCTGAGAAACCTTTTACATGTGAATATTCTGACCTGAGAAACCTTTTACGTGTGAATATTCTGACCTGAGAAACCTTTTACATGTGAATATTCTGACCTGAGAAACCTTTTACGTGTGAATATTCTGACCTGAGAAACCTTTTACATGTGAATATTCTGACCTGAGAAACCTTTTACGTGTGAATATTCTGACCTGAGAAACCTTTTACATGTGAATATTCTGACCTGAGAAACCTTTTACGTGTGAATATTCTGACCTGAGAAACCTTTTACATGTGAATATTCTGACCTGAGAAACCTTTTACATGTGAATATTCTGACCTGAGAAACCTTTTACGTGTGAATATTCTGACCTGAGAAACCTTTTACGTGTGAATATTCTGACCTGAGAAACCTTTTACATGTGAATATTCTGACCTGAGAAACCTTTTACGTGTGAATATTCTGACCTGAGAAACCTTTTACGTGTGAATATTCTGACCTGAGAAACCTTTTACGTGTGAATATTCTGACCTGAGAAACCTTTTACGTGTGAATATTCTGACCTGAGAAACCTTTTACGTGTGAATATTCTGACCTGAGAAACCTTTTACGTGTGAATATTCTGACCTGAGAAACCTTTTACGTGTGAATATTCTGACCTGAGAAACCTTTTACGTGTGAATATTCTGACCTGAGAAACCTTTTACGTGTGAATATTCTGACCTGAGAAACCTTTTACATGTGAATATTCTGACCTGAGAAACCTTTTACGTGTGAATATTCTGACCTGAGAAACCTTGTACGTGTGAATATTTCAGCAGTTATTATGCGTGTCCCGTATTTCTGTCGACTGAACCAGCCATCATTCGTGAATGAATCATTCTTTTGGTTCGATTCTGTCTAGACACGCTTGCACAACGGTCTGAAACTATCGGGATTCGTTTGGACCGCTGTGTCACTGGATCTGCTGAAGCGGTTTCTCAGTCAGTGACGACACAGCGCTGCTTTCAGTCGCTCACCAGTGGTTTCAGCACGGGGTTGCGTTTACTCCCGGTCCCGGACACTATTGTTAAACAACTAGAGGGAAGCGTTTCAATTCGACAGACACCTCTGTTACAAACCACAAATCACTCGATGATTTAACTAGTATTAAATCGGATGAAACGGCCTCAACATTCCCAACACGACTGATGAGGAAAGCAGGAGAAACATTGTGTCATGAACGAAGACTTTAAATCTCTACTCACCACCCTTACAAACATTTACCATGAATGTACTGTAGTAATTTACCATGGTTTGGGCAGAAATGTGGAATATTTACTTATATTGAATATGTTATAGTAATTTATATTGCATTCGATTTATTAGATGGGTAGAGGAATATATAATTCATTTTTGTTCTGATATTACGCCAGTTTCTCTGTGAAGGTGTGTATCGTTGTTAACCTGTGTTTAGGCTGTAGGAGTGAGTAGCCTGTGGTCAGCAAGTCTCACTGTCAGAATATCTTCATTTAAGCATAGCAATTAAAAATAAAATAATTATTATTACTTATCAATAGCTATGAGCTTGTGTAATTAATTTATTTGTTCCAAGGAAAATAGTTGTACAGAGCTGTAAATGATCAAAATTGTATTTTTTATGGTCTTATATATCTGCATACTGTTGGGTACCTCATTTACAAGTAAGTACAATACTTGTTTAGGTTTACTTTAGCTTATTTATTGAAACTGTTATGTTTCAATAAATAATGTTACAATAAATAAGCTAAACCCCCAAACCAACCCACCGGCCCACCTCAACTTTTCGATTGGATAATCCGGCCCTCGAATGGAGATAGTTGAATAGCCCTGATATAGATTGTAATAACATTAATAAATAAATGTGTGAATTATTCAAGGCATCTTTGGAAACTGTAAATGTAATAGAGTTTTCATTTAGTTTTGAACGCTCTTCCGGATTAAGCATCGTCTACATCAGGTTTCACCCGAATATAGATACGGGTCATTCTGTTATTACACTTATAGATTATACACAGCCCTAACATGGACCCGTCACACATTTATGGGGTCTTACAAGCAGACGTGAATTTCTCTCATTTTCTCTAATAGCAAAAGAAAAGAAAAAAATCACAATAGCATTTTCACAACTTTTCCAAAAAGGAGTAATGAGGAGAAATATGACAAATCTACTGTCACTCCCTCAACCAATTATTATTAATTATTATTATTATTATTATGTAATTTAATACTCAGTTAAATAACAGTGCAGTGCCATATTTATTGTGCCACATTTAATTAATGATGACATGCTTGTGATTCAGCATTTTACCGTATCATAACTGAGGCCAGTGAAATCAAGGATACACTAAGCATTGTCAATCCTGGAGAATCAAAATTAGAAACCTTAAAAGATTTGAAAGATTTTCTTATATAGCTTGGGCTACATCATAACATCCACATAAAGAAACAATGGCTGAGGCCGTTCACCTGCTAGCGACACACACACACACACACACACACACACACACACACATAGATAGGCGGGGTGGCAACTAAAAAGCAGAGCAGATTGCTGAAATAATATAGCATTTTTAACTGATAAAGATGGCATGTCTGTTCCTCACAGTTAACTGATGTTTTTTAGACAGTGTTCCTAAAGAGGGCTATTATACAGTATTATACAGCAGCATGATCTGAGTTACCGACTCCAGATTACATTACATATCAAACAAACAGGCTTACTTTTCAACAAATTGATTCCCAGAATTGAACGTAATAGAAAGTGCCCTGCTTTTGCAATAATATACTTACTCATGCACTCATGTTTGTATTGAAAATCATTCTATCAAAATAATCTTCCAATTATTGGACATTATAACAGACTGTAATAAAAAAATAAAAAATAAATCACCATTTCTGATAACAGATAATAGTTCCATCAATCGCCAAGAGTGCAAGTTCTGAATCTGCCACACTCCCTCACTGATGTGAATACACACACAAGGCCAAGGTGTGTTCGAGCTGCGTTCGGCCCCTGATGACTGAGGTATCACCATCACACCCATCCACACACACACACACACAACCACACGTACATACAGCCAAAAGGCACAGTTTTTGTTTCTGAAACGATCATGTGTCTTACCTTTACAGGTAGTGTGAAGGTCTTGGACAGAAGACAGGTTTCTATCTTGTGGTACGGTCACGGTGACACGCCTTGTTCTCTGCTTCTCCTCTGTCTTTCTCTCTGTTCATCCCATCCAATGGGTGAAGCCCTGCCGGATGCTGCAGTGAGGGAGAAACACACCCTTCACCCTCCTCCCCTCCTCAGCACGAGCTCCTCCCACACACCTCTGATTGGCGGATGAGTAGAGGTGACATCATCTCTTTCTCTGGTCTGTCTATCCCTCCCCTCCCTGCTCTCTACCTCTTTCTGTCTCAGCCACAATGGAGAGGTTTAAGCTTTTCCTCTGATTTCCCCCGTACCCCTCAGAGCACCCCAAACAGTCCCAACTCTCCAAGGTATTTTTAAGAGATTTTCTCGACTACTTTAATTGCCATTGGCAGTTCAACCTCACCTTGGCTCTTTGTTATGTTTACCCATTTCTAACGCATAACAATCTCAATCTCATTACTGTAATACCTAAATAATAAAATATTATCTAAATTGTACAATATGTATACACAATAACAGTAGTGCTTTTATTCTAGGAATATAAAAAAATGCATTATGTTTGCAATATGAGGAAAAATAATTGAATGGGAATCATCATAGAAATAATGCAACTATGCAAAGAATCTTAAGAAACAGGCCAATTTTATTTTTTCTTTCATTTTGAGTGAGAATGTGGCCTGGTTATGTGACATTCAACCTTATGCACGTCGATGGAGTTTGCTCTCCTTTAAGTTAAAATGATGATTATTGGCTTTACGCTGAAATACCATCCATCTATATTTAGAGGTCTGCAGATCATCTCATTTTATTTTCTTAAAACCAATACTGTAATACAGTATGATTTAATGGAACATGATGCTTGTAAAAACACAATATGCACAGAGCACAGAGCGCACCACCCAACACACACACACACACTGGCCATCAGGAGCAGATGGAGCGGGTGTGGGGTAACATGGGCCCTCTGACACACGCCAGCGCTAGCTGAACACAAGCCTGAGCAGAGTTTGCTTGTGTGCATGTGGCCACTTATGTTTGTTTCTGGGAGGTTTGGATTGATTCAGAGTCTCCTTTTGGTATTTGATAATCTGATAAGAGAAGACGGCTCTCTCAAGGGTCCTTCCTTCTCTCTCTTCATCAATAAACCTCTGTATTGCACTTAACGTAAGCCCAGTCTGAACTAGAATTGTTTGACAGGATCCGTCTGGCTCCGTCCCTCCTGTGCCTTTACCGGAACAGTCACAACAACAAGCAATCAGGATCCACTGAAATAAATCTCAAATGTTATATTTTAACAATATAATAAAAAAATGTCATCAGTATTTTTGTCTTGTTGTCCACTAAAAGTATGTAAACATCCATAAAACTAGAGAAATATACTTTATCCCCGCCAGAACACATGTGAAAAGTCTAATCCCAAATCAGAAGACAAACCTACACCTCAAATACCGAGGATACTCCAGTCTGTGACAGCTTGGTAAAATATCATCTGTATTTATATTGATTCCATATACTTTGTATTTTATTACATTATATGAGTGTTGAAATAAAGATGCTACAGAAAGGTGTTTATCTCAGTACACAGTTGAGGTAATCAGTTGCATACAAAATTTTGGTTTCACTTTATTTGGATGGTCCCTTTAACACATTCAGTTGACTATAAGTAACGTTGCACCTACATCTCTACTAACTCTCACTAGAGTGTTAGTAGAGTATTATCAGACTGGTAGGGTTACATGTAGTTGCAAAGTTACTTATAGTCTGTAGAATGTCTGTTGGAGGAGCATCACAATAAAGAGTTGGCAGATATTAAGCAGAGAGTCTACTAATACTCTAATGAGAGTTCCCTTCCGAGGGAACTCCGCTGCGTCGAAATCGACACTACGGGGAATGCCCTTAGCATGACGCGTCTGAAGCCTGAATAAAACTAGTCCAATCCTGATTGGTGCTGCGTGATGACGTCAGCCGTGATGTCGTAGGTGACGGTGAGCGGAACTATAAAACGGGCGCCGGAACCCGGAAGCGGCAGCTTTTGTCCTTCAGCAAAGCGTTATATGTGAATCTGTCTGTCTTATTTGGTGTTGTTTGTTCGGTAAAACAAAGGTATATTGTGATGGAGAAGACTGTGAAACAGTTCAGGCAGTGTGCGTCCCCTTGCCCACGCTATTTAAGCGAGGGTGACACACACGAGCTTTGTGTTGTTTGTTTGGGTGTGGAGCATGCTCGGGCAGCGTTTGAGGGCGCTGCCTGTGCAAATTGTGAAACATTGCCCTTAAGAACGCTCCGCTCCCGCCTGAGCCTGTTCGATGAATCAGGCCAGGCTCGCGCTCCCCATGGATCAGGTCCCGCGTCTGTCGAGGCAGCGCGGCGCTTGCATTCATGGGGATCGCAAAAGGATCTGGTTGATAATGTTGAGACAGCTTCGGCTCTTTCTCAGCATTCATCGGCCAGTTCTCATGTTCCCGCTCACGGTTCGGGAGCCCGCCCTGCGGCTTCTCCCGACCGCAGAGAGGAACCGATGCTAGAACTATCTGAATCCGAGGATTTAGATGTTCTCAGCGTCGGGGCAGGGGATTGTGAAATTCCATCACCACATTCCCCTGCCTTTGAGGAGCTGCTGGAGGTTGTGACCAGGGCTGTGGCTAAATTAAATATCGATTGGCCCCCAGAAGTGCAGGAAGCGACTAAAAAAAGTAAACTTGATGAGCGCTTCCTGCAAGCCCGGTCACAGCCTTCGCGCCGGAGTCTCCCGTTTTTCACTGATCTCCACACCGAGGTGTCGAGATCGTGGAATAAGCCCTTCTCTTCTCGACTTTCCAGTCCCGATGTTCATTTATATTCATCCATTATGGGGTCGAGAGAGAGGGGCTACGGGACGATGCCGCGGGTTGAAGAGGCTTTTGCGAACCATCTCTCGCCCGATGCTGCATCGTCCCTGAGAGCTCCGGCGCTTCCCTCCAAGCCCTGCCGTACTACTTCGGCCTTGGTTGGGAAAGCGTATATGGCGGCAGGTCGGGCTGGTGCATGCCTGCATACTATGGGGCTGTTGCAGGCGTACCAGGCCGACCTCCTCAAAGAGGTGGACGACGGTGGGGAGGTCGCCTACGACGATATTCGCGAGATGCGTCGTACGGTGGACTTGTCTCTCCGTGCTACCAAAGAGACGGCCCGCGCCATCGGCCGTTCTCTGGCAGCATTGGTAGCTACGGAGAGACACCTGTGGCTGAATCTGTCGGGCATCGGGGATAAAGACAGGGCTTTCCTCCTCGATGCCCCGATTTCGCCTACTGGCCTCTTTGGCGACGCAGTCAACACTGTCGTCGAGAGGTACCAGGAAACGAAACGACAGTCAGCCGCACTCAAACACCTTATCCCCCGCCGTCGTTCTAAGTCTCATGGGTCTGCTGCCAGGGGGCAGTCCCATGAGGCAGCCGCCAGCTCCTCACGCCTGCAGCAGCAGAAGGAGAGTGTTGCCTCTCGTGCTCCCCCGAAGAAGGCCTGGAGCCAGGGGCAACACTCTCAATCGAAGTCTTCCAACCCTAGGGCAGATCTGAGGACTGTCATTCAGGCTAGGAAGGCTTCATCGAAGAGGTCCTGATGCGTTGCGCAGGCCTCTGAGGGTGGTCCCCTCCGTGATCGAGCAACAACAGCTCGCTCCTTCACGGAGCCCTCAGGAAATCGATGCATGCTGCCCGCCGCTACGTGCGCTTCGGGACGCATCGGTTTCCAGCGAATGCAAGGTGCAGAGTCCGCCCGTAAAATTGACGGCTCCGCGCATTGTGTTCCCTCTCAAGAGGTCTGCAGAAAAATTAAATCGGTTAGTTCCTGCCAATCAAATGCTTCAGGTCACCGATATCTCTACTATAAGACCAGAGGTCAGTCCCGAGAGACTGATCCCCTTAGTGGATTATTTAGACGCCTGGAAGGGTCTTCAAAATATATCTCAATGGGTCCTGCTCACGGTAGAAAAGGGGTACAGAATTCAGTTCGAATATCGTCCACCTCGATTCAGCGGAGTGGTTCACACGCTGGTCAAACCAGAGCAGGGTCAGGTCATGGAACAGGAAGTTCAGTCCCTCTTGGCAAAGGAGGCCATAGAACGTGTTCCTCCTCAAGATTGGGAGACCGGGTTCTACAGCCGGTACTTCATAGTTCCCAAGAAGGATGGGGGGTTGCGCCCGATTATAGATCTCAGGGTATTGAATCGGTCTCTGAGGAGATACAGGTTCAAAATGTTAACTATACCTCTAATTGTGAGTCAAATCAGATCCGAGGACTGGTTTGTCACCATAGATCTAAAGGATGCTTACTTCCATATCTCCATCCTTCCTCGGCACAGGAAGTTCCTAAGATTCGCTTTCGGGGGAGTAGCGTATCAATACAGGGTTCTTCCGTTCGGCCTAGCACTGTCCCCTCGCACCTTCACGAAGTGCATGGATGCTGCTCTTGCTCCTTTGAGACTTCAAGGCATTCGCATCCTCAACTACATCGACGACTGGCTAATACTGGCGCAGTCGCTGGAGTTGGCAGTTCAACATCGAGATGTTGTTTTGCAACACCTGAGGTGCTTGGGGTTAAGGCTCAATATCAAGAAAAGTTCGTTAATTCCTCTACAGAGAACAACCTTTCTGGGGGTGGTTTGGGACTCAGTTACGATGCGGGCACAACTGTCTCCCGCCCCTATAGACTCCATCCTGACCACAGTAATGAGTGTCAAACTAGGCCAGGCTGTCACTGTCAAACATTTCCAAAGGGTTCTGGGTCTTCTTGCAGCAGCGTCCAACGTTATTCCTTTTGGCCTGCTGTATATGAGGGCCCTGCAGTGGTGGCTCAGGACCAGAGGGTTTTCCCCGAGGGGGAACCCTTTTCGCACGATCAAAGTAACGCGCAGATGCCTTCGTTCTTTGGTCATGTGGAAGAAACCGTGGTTCCTGTCCCTGGGTCCTGTGTTAGGAGTACCGTGTCAGAGAAAAATTCTGACCACGGATGCGTCCCTCACAGGCTGGGGTGCGGTAATGGAAGGCCGCTACACCAGAGGTCTCTGGAGGGACCGTCATCTTTCTTGGCACATCAATTGCCTGGAGATGATGGCTGTGTTTCTGGCTCTCAGGCACTTCCTCTCGGA